CAAAAAAAAAAAAAAAAAAGAAACCATCAGGAGAGAAGGGAGACAGCCCACAGAATGGGAAAAAAATATTTACCAACTGTGTATCTGACAAGGGCCTAACATCCAGGATCTACAAGGAACTCAAATAAGCTGAAAGGAAAAAAAAAAAAAGCCCTATTAAAAAATGGGCAAAAGACATCCCAAAAGAAGATATACAAGCAGCCAACAGATACATGAAAAATTTCTCAGCCTCAGTACTTCTCTTATTCATGGGCTATTGCAATGATGAGGGGTTCTCTCAACACCAGACTTTACCAGAGGGTCCTCTTTTCTTTTTCTCTTTCTTGATCCTGTTCCATGGGGATTTCTATGTTTCTCAACATGGGCCAAATGGGGCTTTGGGTGGGACATTTCTTTACAATGTGGGACTGCTCTGTTCATCTTGGGAATATTGGCATCCCTTTCCCTCATCCATTAAACATCAATGGCAGCTATATCACTCTGGACGAGGAAAAATAACACGCATAGTCAGACCCTTTCAAACATCCCCGGATGGAGAAGGCGGGAAACAGGAGTAGGACTCCCCCTTGTTGGGAACCAGTGAATGAAATTCAGGAGAAACAGGATGGTGTTGTAGTTCATGCCCGTGATCTCAGCACTTTGGGAGGCTGAGATGGAAGGATTGTTTGAGCCTAGGAGTTTGAGACCAGCCTGGGCAACAGTGAGACTTTACCTCTACAGAATCACAAAAATTACCAAGTGTGGTGACACACACCTGTAGTCCCAACTACTCAACAGGCTGAGGTGGAAGGATTGCTTGAGTCCAGGAGGTCAAGGCTGTGGCGAGCCATGGTCCTGTCACTGTACTCCAGCCTGGGTGACAGAGTGAGACAGAATAAAAAAATAAACAAACAAAAAACAACAACACAAAGGAACTAAAAAAAGGAGGAGAAACAATATTCTTCCTCTCCCTCCTCCCTGACCTCAGGCCTGTCCTCTGTCCATGGGCGGCACAGCTGCTGTGGGAACGATGAGTGAGACCAGCTGACCTGCAGAGGCCCTGTGCAGCCTGCATTCCCGTCTCCCAGAGTCTCTCCCATGTGGTCCTATGGCTCCTTCTTCCCATGGTCCTCGCCTGGGACCAAGACCAGGGCTGGGCATAAAGACGTGTCCACAATGATTATTTTTATCATTATTATGGTAAAAGTTTAATCTATCTTTTCCCTACTAACATGGCAGGGCCCCTGGATCACAGACCAAAATCATGGACCTACTTCTGTGACATCCCTCCCCCCCCCTTGTCCTTGAACCGTCTTTGGGAGAAAGCGGTGGCGTCCTTTGCCAGGGTAACAGAAAGTAGAGTATGCTCGGTATAGCTTTGGCCGGCCGCTGGCGACTACTTGGTCTGTGTCCCACTGTGCTCTTGGCTGGCCTCACAGCTGCAGTAAAAATAACGCAAACCCTTCCATTCCGCAGCCTGTTTACTCTCCCTGTTTGTCCCTTTCCTTCCTCCCCAAGACCTGACTGACCTACACGGTTTCTCCTGAATTTATTCATTTAACTTCTATTTTTATCTGGCTAACCTTGATGCCATTCTCATCCTCATACATACACATCTGTCATGAAGTGATCCTTGCAACTCAACATGTGTGTGTTCCTTTCTTGACTTATGCCCTAATTTTCGTGAGGCACACACCCGCTTCTATTTTTAAGAAGTTTTCTAATTCTCCTCTTTCCACTTTATAGAGAAGAGGGTGCCTTCCAGGGTTTGGACAGCCCAGCTCTGCTTGGTCACTTTGAGCAGTGAATAGATGACTTCTTTTCTTCTTCTTCATCTTCCCCCTCCTTCTCCTCCAACTCTTCCACATCCTTCTCCCCATCCTCCTCCTCCCTCTCCCCTTCCTCCTCCTTCTCCTCCTCCTCTTCCTCCTCCTCCTCCTCCATCTTGTCAGGGTCTCACTCTGTTGCCCAGGCTAGAGTACAGTGATGCAATCATGACTTACCATAGCTTCGACCTCCTGGGCTCAGGTGATCTATCTCAGCCTCCCAAGTAGCTGGGACTATAGGCATTCACCATCACACCTGGATTTTTAATTTTTTTTGTAGAAGTTTTGCTGTGTTGTCCAGGCTGGACTTGAATTGTTGGGCTCAAACAATGTCCCTGTCTGAGCCTTCCAGAGTGCTGGGATTCCAGGCATGAACCACCACACCTGGTCTAAAATTTTTCATGTCAACAATTGATATCACATTTCAGTTTTCAGCTAAATATACTCATTTAAATCAACATTTTGCACAAGCAAAAATAAAATTTTAAATCAATGAAGGAAAGGTGCATATAGGACATACAACTCTTGAACATGGATTCTACATGTTTGTATATTGAAAATCACTGGATGAGTAAAATGTACCTATGGCCTTCAGCAAGGCTCCAACACATGTGAAACAATCAATAAAGACAGGCTGATGTTAGAGTTTCTCTTTACTGTCTTTGCTCAATCTGCCCTTGCCTCCAATCCCAATATATAGGCCCAAGAAACCTGCCAAAGCAGAGAAGAGAAAGGAATTCGGGGATCATCCTGGCCCTGCAAACTGTTGTGAGGATGCTTCTTGAAATGTCAACCACCGGAGGGAGGACAGCTCACGATGGCAGCAATGCCTCTGCTCAGGCCCCTTCTTCCTTCCTCTTATGTGACACAACTACATTCAGGAAGTGAGACGTCAGAAAGCTCTATAAGGTTTTAATTTGTGCCAAATCTTGATCTGAACACATTCAAATCCAGGCCTCCAATTCTAACACATTGAGACCAGCAGTCCCCAACCTTTTGGCATCAGGGACCAGTTTTGTGGAAGACAATTTTTCCATGAATCGGAGGGGTGTGGAGGATGGTTTCAGTATGATTCACCTGCATTACATTTATTGTGAAGTGTATTTCTCTTATTATTGCATTGCAAGATATAATGAAATAATGATACAACTCATTATAATTTATTTAACCACACACAATAGTGTTCGTGCTCCTATGAGAATTGAATGCCGCCACTGATCTGACAGAAGATGGAGCTCAGGCAGTGATGTGAGCTATGAAGAATGGCTGTAAATACAGATGAAGCTTCTCTCTCTTGCCCACCACTCACCTCTTGCTGTGTGGTCCAGTTTCTAATAGTTCATTGGTCCATGGTCTGGGGATTGAGGACACCTGATCCAGAGGAACCAGAAATTCCCAAAGCCAGGATTTGAAAGATTCTGCTGAGATGGCAATAGATTGATATGGATATACAGTAAGTCTCCTAAATACAAACGAGTTCCATTCTGAGATTACATTCATAAGTCCAGTCTGTTTGTTAGTCCCACAAAGTTAGCCTAGGTACCCAACTAAAACAATTGGCTATACAATACCAGCTGCATCACTGATGCTTTTATGCTTGCTTCTGAACATTCTGGGCTTGAAATAAAGATACTGTAATACTGTACTCTATACAGTATTGAACAGTAAATTGCACAAAATCACAATTACTTGTAGAAGATGCACACACATGGCAATGTATGCCAGATACATGAACTAACTTATGTGACTGGATGAGCGAACACAGGTTTGCCTATTTGAAAGTTTGCAACTTGAAGATTCTTATGTAGGGGACTTTTGTATAGAGATATTTGGGGATTCCTCAGCTCACAGAAAAGATGCTGGACATTGGTATTGAATGAATAAATCAATGTAGGTGAATGTTTTCGAATGGTTGCTGTTGATGAGGTGTTTAAGGTAAAGGTGCAGAGAATGAGCAAGACCATGGTTTATGTATTTAAAAACAAATTCAAGCTGGGCGTGGTAGCTCAGCCTGTTATCCCAGTACTTTGGGAGGCCAAGGCGAGAGGATTGTCTGAGCCTGGGGGTTCGAGACCAACCTGGGCAACTTGGTGAGATCTCATCTCTACACTAAATCACAAAAACTAACCAGGCGTGGTGGCATGCATCTGTAGTTACAGCTACTTGGAAGGCTGGGGTTGAAGGATTGCCTAAGACCAGCAGGTCAAAGCTGTGGTGACTGTTAGTGTTCCACTGCACTGCGGCCTGGGCGACAAAGTAAGATTCCAACTGAAATAAATAAATAAATAAGCATCACACACACAAATAAACCAAATTCAGCTTGGGGTTACATTCTCATGAAGTTTTTGTTTTAAGTGGGAAAATATGGCATAGACATTAGCAAATCAAGCATAAATATTGTTATCAACAGGGCAACCACTAAAGGGATTGTACAAAAAGTTAAGCAAAGGGAAAAAATAGCCGAGTTAAGATGACATATGAAAAATAACCCAATAAGCAAAGAAATTGGGAATAAGAAAACATTAAAAAGGTGTCTCTCACCCGTAAACCTAACACTTCGGGAGACTGAGGCGGGAGGATTGCTTGAGTCCAGAAGTTTAAGAC